CTAGAACTTCACTGTCCAATATGGCAGGCCCCAGGCACATATGGCTAGTGAACCTTTAATATGTGGCTACTCTAAATTGAGATGCACTTTTAAATGCAAAAGGAGCCCTGCTGGCACAATGCTTGCTAACTGAAAGGTTGGCAGTTTCAGACCACCAGCCTCATTTTGGAGGGGAAAAATCTACAGCCTTGGAAACTCCATGAGGAAGTCGATCTTATATGAATTGGAATAAACTTGATGGCAGGGGGTTTGGCAACTAAGGGTAAAAATCACATTATACTTCAAAAATTTGTTAAAAAAAGAATTTTACAGATCTCTAAAATCTTTAGATTAATTGCCTATTGCAATGATAATATTTTGATAGCATTTCTTAGATAAAATAGATTATTAAAATTCCTTTTCCCCTGTTTGTTCTTACTTTCTTTTAATTTGACAGTTGACTCCACTGCTATTGAGTCTGTCCTCTATTTTCCAAAGCTATAAATCTTCAAAGGTGAAGGACGCTGATATTTTCCCTTCAGAGTACTTGGTGGATTCCCACTGCCGCATCACCAGAACATCTTAATAAGGCTGCCAGAAAATTTAAAATTATGTATGTGACTTATATATGAGACACACACACAGATGACAAAACCCTGCTTGCTGAAACTGAGGAGGACCTGAAGCATTTGCTGCAGAGGGTCAAGGACTGCAGCCTTCAGTATGGATTAAGGCTCAATATCAAGAAAACAAAGATTCTCACCAGTGGACCAACTGGAAGCATCATGATAGATGGTGAAGAAATTGAGACTGTTAACAGCTTTAGTTTGCTTGACTCCACAATCAACACTCTTGGCACCAGAAGCCAGGAAATTAAAAAATGTATTGCATTGGAAAAGTCTGTTGTCAGGGACTTCTCCAAAGTACTGAAGAGAAACAATGTCAGTCTGGAGACTAAGGAGCACCTGGTACAGGCCATGGTCTTTGCAATCACTTCCTATGCACCAGAAAGTTGGAAAATGACTAGGGATGATAGAAGGAGAATTGATGCCTTTGAGCTGTGGTGTTGGAGAAAAGTATTGAATATACCATGGACTGCTAAGAGAGCTAACTGGTTTGTCCTAGAGAGAGTGAAACCAGGCTGCTCCTTGGAGGGCAAGGATTCTGAAGCTTCATCTGATATACTTTAGACATGTTTCAAGGAGGGACCAGTCCTTGGAGAGGGACGTCATGCTTGGGAGGATGGAGAGACAGCGCAGGAAGGAAGACTCTCAATGAGATGGGTTGGTTCAGTGACTGGGGAATTGGGGCTAGGTGTGTCAGAGAAAGTGAGATTGGCACAGGATAGGGCTATTGTACATAGGGTCACTATGAGTCGCAGGGGACTTGACAACACATAACAACAACAATATTTCCATTGGGTGGCACTGGGAGAGAGCCTCCCATCACTGCAGATTGAGACCTCTTTGGGATCCTGCACACAGTTCTAGGAATTATTTTGACCAATTGGTTAATTATCTACCTCTGGAAAGAGGGCAAGTTGAAAAGATGTTGATTTCCAGTTGGGCTTTTCTACCATTGGTATATAAACTTTGTGTACTCTGTTCTCTGGTGGTAAATGCTAAAGAACTTGTTTGACACCATGGGAAGGCAGAATCATGCCATCTGATCAAGTTCATGTAGGCCTTCTTTGAAATACCTTGTAGGTTTGGAACCTCATTCTCTCTTTCATGTCAAAGCTAAGTTTCACTTTCTCAGTCTTCTCAGCTTATTTTTGGACAACTTTTTTCTCCCAGACTTGACACTATCTCAGTGTTGAAATGGTAATTGTCATGTTGTATGTAATTAAAACATTTTAAAAAATATGTTCTTTTTTTGTGGGTTTTTTTAATTATTAAATTTTATTAGTATTAATGAACATTTACAGGGATTTTGGGTTTTCATTCCTTCATTGCTGTACCATTCTCTCTACCCTCTTCCCCAGTTTGTTCTTCTTCCCCCGCCATCCGAATGTCTGTTTTAATTGTCCAATTGCCACAGTGCTTGTCAAAGCCAGTTCTGTTTAATCTCCTTTGTCAGTGTGTCCTTTGCCATTCCCTATCACTCCTCCCTGAGAGAGACTTCACCCTGATTCATAAGGGAAAGGGGATGGCTTATTCTCTTAACTACTTCCTGCTGAAAAGGGACGCTGTGGGTTTCAGGGTGAAGATCTTCTCTCACTACTCTAAAGGGCCCCTTTGGCAGTAGGAAACACATAGACTATTATGGAGATTGATTTTGGAATTTAGATGCACTGTTATTAATTGTGCTTAGCCGTACATGTTCATATCCTTGAAGATGTATCATGGGGGTGTTGCAACCTAGAAGTCACAAATTTAACTAACAAGTTATAAGTACATGAGTCAAAAATTATGGAAAAGTAAAAGAAAAGATTCTTTCATTGTTTTACATACCCTCCCCCAGGTCTCCTCCACCATGGAGCCATCGCTCTAGACTCCTGTGATGACAGAAATACCTAGTCACATATCTCTTTTAAACAGTTTTCTCCCTCCTCTGCTTCAGTGCAGTATACATTATTGAACCCATCTTACTCAGTCTCTCCCCAACCCCGAGGTTAGTCCCATTCTACAACAGTGGCATCATGCGATATTTGTCCTTTTGTGACTGGGATATTTCACTCAGCATAATGTTCTCCAGAGTCAACCATTTCGAATAATATTGCATGAGTTCCTTGTTTTTCAATGCAGCATAGTATTCCATTGTGTGAATATACCACAGCTTCTCTAGCCATTCGTTTGCTGATGGGCACTTAGGTTGTTTCCAACTCCTTGCTATTGTGAACAAAGCTGCAATAAACATGGGTGTGCATATATCTGCTTGGATGTCAGCTATGGTCTCTTCAGGGTATATTCCCAGTAGTGGAATTGCTGGGTCAAATGGTATCTCTATTTGCAACTTTTTGAGAAAGCGCCATACTGCTTTCCACAGGGGTTGCACCATTTTACACTCCCACCAACAGTGAATCAGGGTTCCAGTTCTGAAGCAGCCATTTAAAATGTCTATAAATTGCTTTACTTTGTTTATCTGTGCGCTGTAACTCTGGCATCTGTGTGTCTGAGTTCAAATTCTGGCTCCTTCATTTACTAGCTGGAAGACTATGAGCAAGTTCTTTAATCATCCTGGGCTTGTTTCTTCACTTTAAAATGGGGATAATAATAGTGCTTACTGCATAGTTTGGTAGCAAAGAAGAAATGAATTGATAATACCTATGAAGTATACTCCTATATACCTTTGTTGAGAGAGGAAGATACTCAATAAAATAAATTGACACACTGACTGTTAACAATGGGCTTGAGTATATCAGAGATGGTAAGGTTGGTGCAGGATGGGGCAAGGTTCAGATGTGTTGCTGAGAGGGTCTCTGGGAGTCCTAGCTGACTTCATGGTACCTCACAACAACAATAACAAATGAGGTGTGCAGAACATATGCATATGACAATAGATGAGTGTCAGCTATTTAATGACTTCTTATTATTTCAGTTTTAAGCTGTTCAGCTTTTGTCTACCTTTCCTCTAAATTATGTCACCTAAATATCTTTACCTTTGTTGTTGTTGCGCACCTCTGAGGGGAACCAATCGTTAGCTGATCCTCCAGAGGGTTTCAGAGGCAGTTAATTGTGCAGGAGGAGACTACCCATCCTCCTCCTGCGGAGCAGCTGGTGGATTTGAACAGTATGCCTTCAGGATAGCAGTGAATTTTCTTACCAGAAGGCTATCAGAGCTCCCTTCTTTGCCTTTCAGCAGGAACTGTAATAAAAGCAGCACCCACCTCATCCTTGCTACTGTGAACAGATACGAAACATTATTTTATCTCCTAAGATGGAAGCTAAATATGGTGTCTTCTGTTCTGGGTAGTGTTAACCACCAAGAGGACTGGAATTTGGAAGCTTGGTCTTAGCTGAGGAGAGGGAATCGGAACACTTGACTGTGTGGCTGTATCTGCAGAAGCTCCTGGAGAGTGGGGTGGATGACAGCCTCAGCTTTGGGGAGGGACCTGCAGAGGGTCTTGAGTCTGTCTGGGAGAGAGGCCTCAATAAAGAGGAATAAACTGTGTTTTATAAGCCCGATTTTCCAGTTGTATGCATGCTTTCTTGGTATTTAATTATCCTCTAGTCTTTAAAATATTAGAGAGGATTAAGGAAAAAAAAGGAAGTCAGGATATTAAGAAACATGCTTAAGAAGAGCAGTTTAAATTGCAGATTGGAAACTCTCTGTATGTATGTGTGAGTGTAGGGTAGGGAGTGCTTACTAGTTAGTTGATAGACTTGAAAGCAGCGCAATCAGGCTTTGACCATAAAGGTCAGACAGGAATTCTTTCAGACTTATTTCTCTAAGGAAGAAATGACCTTCCTGGGATGGAGAGGGTGGGAGGAGTTTATGCCAGCTGCAGTAGCAGAAGAAGACATGGACTCTCACATCTCAGTAAACAGACATTGCGAAATTGTTTGCAGTGAAGAACCTCCTATCTCCTTTTCTCCAGCACCTTCCACCATCACCAGAGCCCGGCCTGGTGGTCTGACCTTAAAACCCTTGTATTACAGAATTTCTCTAGAGCAATCTCCCAATCCCCATCCCACTGCCTGTCTCTACACTCAAATTCACTGCTGCTGAGTCAGTACGAATCCATAGCGGACCCTCCAGTGAGTTTCAAGGCTTTAACTCGCACAGGAGAATGTCTATTTTCATGCTAAGGAGACGAGCCCTTGGGGCATTCCAATCACCACAGAGGTGAGCAGCATTTGGAGAAGTACTTGTTTGCAGAGGTTTTATTTACTTAACATGCAGGGGGGTTTGATAAGCTTCTGTTTAATAAGAGGGGTGTATTCTTTTCCTTTGGAGACTCTTCCACCTGACTTTAATTTTTTAAGTCTTTCTGAAAGAGTTCAAAAGAAGCCTAGTGCACAATCCTGTCTGTCACTACTAAGCAGCAGATTTAAACTCTGACAGCTTTCTGGCGGCACTTGCCGGAGTCCCGCCTCCTGCCGCGAAGCTGGGGAAGGTGGGCCATTTCTTTTTCAAAAGTCCCCCTAAAACGCTGCCCATGTTCAGCTCACTCGTGCTTTTGAATAAAGGAAGGAAGCAATGGTGTGGGAGCTGCTATCCAACGAGAGAGAGAACGGAGAGCGAGCGATGGAGAGGTTCCAAGGGACTGAAAGTGAAGTTACTTTATCAGAAGAGTAGAGTGGTGAGCAAGGCGGATGCATGCGTTTGGCGAGGAACCAGGGACCCGGAGGTGTGCACTTACCCCAGAAAGGTGAGGAACCGCGGGTCGGTGGCCAGGTTGGCGTCAATGGTGAAGGACAGGAAGGCAGGGCTCACCAGGTGCACCGGCTGCTCGGTGGAAAAGTCCAACTCCACGGTGGCCTCTGCCTGCACGGGTCCCTCCGGGGCGCCCGAGCAGAGGGCACCGAGCAGCCCGATGAGCAGCAGCGGCAGCAGCGGCGGCGGCGGCAGCGGCAGCATCGCGCTCCACCTGGCTGCGCACGGCGAGCGGCTCAGCGAGTCCCGGCGCCCGCGCACGTCCTCGTTCTCGGCGCAGCGCCTTTTCCCCGCGCCTCCGCCAGGCCGGCCCTCCGCCCTCCCACCGCCCCGCGCCGCGCCCTCTCTCCGCTCCCTCTAGGCTCGCGCCACCCGCCCCCTGCGGTTACTCCCACTTCCTGGCTAGCTTTTCCCTCGCTGCGATCAAGTCCACTTGTGGAAACACTCACACCCATCCGAAGGGTGCCGAGATGGCCTGGTTCCAAGCGCCCCGGCAGCTGGACAGGGAGCGCTGAGTATCCGGGACTGGTGTTGTGCAATGCCCTCTGCTCACTGTGCGGAACGCAGGAGTTTCTTTCTTGCAGGTCCCATCCAGGTGGCGCCATGTCTCCCTTTTCTAACCCTGAACTCAAACCTGCGGTTGGGCATTCGTGGTTTCTCCTCTCATCTGACTTACAAACACATGTCATTTAAGCCTGTGAGAACCTGGTTGATCTGTGTGTGCATTGATTGGCCCCAGGACTGAGTCTTGAACTGCACAGTCTAAAGTACATCTGGAAGATTTGCAACCAAAAATTCCTTATCAACTTTTCATGAAAACAATTTGCCACGTGCCCCAATATCTGAAACCCAAAGACTGAAATTAGTCCCCATACAATGTGACTCCTCAATGGGAAGTCTTTGCCAACTCGCCCACCCATGTAATGATATCTATTGATTTGCTCTTTGCCGATTTTCTTTTGGTGCCTATGTTGACAGGTAACAAACTCCATGCAGTTAGTGCATTTGTAGGTGGTTAACGAGCTGAACTGCTAATCAAAGCCTAGAGGTCCGAGGTCAACCAGAGCTGTTTTGGAAGACCCACTTAGTAATCAATACAGAAAAATGGGCCATTGAAAACCCTATGTAGAACTGCTTTATTCTGAAACAGCATCACCAGGAGTCAGAATTAACTCAAAGGCACCTGATTAGCCGGGTTGTTTTACATGAGGTGGTGTTGAGCCCTCCAGTCAGTTCAGACTGAGGGATCACAACACAATTAAATACTGTCCCGTGTTCATTATCTCTGCTATGCTGGGCGTCCATTGTTGCAGTCGCTGTGTCAATCAATCTTATTGAGGGTCTTCTCTTTCACTGACCCTCTGTTTTACCAAGAATGATGTCTTTCTCCAGGGTTCTGCATATGTGAAATGAAGAATCAACATCCTTGCGTCCAGATAGCGTTCTGGATGCACTTCCTCCAAGAAAGACTTAATTGTTCTTTTGGTAGTCCAGCCTATGTTCTACAGTCTTTCCTAGCATCACAGTTCAAAGACACCAATTCTTTCTTTATTCATTGTCCAATTTTCACATGTGTGCAAGGTGATTTGAAATGCTATAGTTTGGGGCAAGCGTATCTTACTCCTCAAAATTACATCCTTGCTCTTTAGCACTTTAAAGAGGTCCTATAAAGAGCAGCAGATTCGTTCAATGCAACACATCTCCTGATTTCTTGACTGCTGCTTTGGTGCAAGTAAAATGCGATCCTTGATAATGTCGATTTTTTTCCCTCCAGTTATCCAGTTGTGAGGACTTTTGTTTTCTTTATATTGTAATCCATATTGAAGGCTCTAGTCTTTGAGTTTCATCAGGAAATACTTCCAGTTTTGTTATTTTCTGCAAGCAAGATTGGGTCATTTATGTATCAAAGATTGTTAACACCCTTTTCCCAGTTGTGATGCCACGTTTTTCCTATAGTCCAGATCTTGAACTCAGCATACCGATTGAAAACGCATGGTGAAAGATTCATATGGTTGTATAAATACAACCTGGAAACACACCTTTCCTGAGTTGGCAATGAAACTAACTCGTTACCCTTTTGGCCACCAAAGATCACAATGATGTTTATATAGGTGCTTGAAATTCTTACTTTTTAAGTTGGCTAAAATCTGAATTGCTAAATCTCAACCTGTAGATTTCATTTCTCATAAGAAGACCATTTTACACTAGGCAATAAACTGTCTGAGGATAAGAATTAAGATGTGATCACAATCCCTGAGCAGATGAGAGCCTACCTCATGTGAAATGCAACTTCTTCAAGAAAGGTTTCCCTCCATCTCCAGGTGCTGAAGTTGCACTTGGCACAATTCAGCACATTTATAGTGACATTTCTCTCAATGTTAGTCTCTTCTGCTACATTGTAAATTCCAAGAAAGCAGAGCTGGGATCTATCTTTTACAGTGCTCTAACCTTGGAGAGGGACATGTTTGGAAGGGTGGAGGGACAGCACAAGAGACGAAGACCCTGCATGAGATGGTTTGACTCAGTGACTAGGGAAATGGGGGTTTACAGGTGTGTCAGAGAAATGAAACTGATTCAAAGTAGAGCAGAGTTCCTATGAGTCTCAGGCAACTCGATGACATATAACAACAACAACAACAGCAACAACCATAGCTCATGAACAAAGAATGACTCAAAATCCCTTAGATTTTCCCACAGAAATGGAGATAAAAAGACAAGTGTACTAGACTTTTCCCTACCTTTGTCAATATTGATTCTAGTCTACCCTGCCCTATGTGTCTACTACACTCCCAGGGCAAAGTCTAGGAGGAGAAATGCATGGATTAAAAAAATGATTACCCAGAGTGCTGGTGGCCTAGTGGTGAGAAGGTGCACTGCTATCCCAAAGGCACTGCTCTGCTGGAGATGGATGGGCCATACCTTCCCCCATGTTTATTGCAGCTTTGTTCACAATAGCAAGGAGTTGGAAACAACCTAAGTGTCCATCAACAAAAGAATGGCTAGAAAAGCTGTGGTATATTCGCACAATGGAATACTATGCTGCATTAAAAAACAAGAAACTCATGCAATATTGTTCAAAATGGTTGACTCTGGAGAACATTATGCTGAGTGAAATATCCCAGTCACAAAAGGACAAATATTGCATGGTGCCACTGCTGTAGAATGGGACTGTCCTTGGGGTTGGGGAGAGACTGAGTAAGATGGGTTTAATAATGTATACTACACTGAAACAGAGAAGGGAGAAAACTGTTTGAAAGAGATATGTGATTAGGTATTTCTGTCATGACAGGAGTCTAGAGCAATGGCTACATGGTGGAGTGGGGAGGGTTTGTAAAATAATGAAAGAATCTTTTATTTTTCCAAGAGGGTAATGTCTGGTGGGGGAGCGCCTTGGGAGGGGACAAATCTACAACAATGAATGAATGGAAATCCAAAGCCTCTGTAAATTTTCACTGAAATTAATAACAAATTTAAATTAAAAAAAAAAAGGTTAAGTTAGAGTAAGGATGGCAATGGAACCACCTTATCTCTGTAACTTGATTTGTGCCACTATTAGAACCTCTACTCGGAATATTATTGCTTTTCAATTTTTGACTCATGCACTTTTAACTTGTTAGTTAAATTTGTATCTTCTAGGCTGCAACACTTCCATGATACATCTTCAAGGATATGAACATGTACGACTAAGCACAATTGATAACAGTGCATCTAAATTCCAAATTCAGTATCCATAATAGTCTACATGTTTCCTACTGCCAAAGGGGCCCGTTAGAGTAGTGAGAGAAGACCTTCACCCTGAAACCCACAGCGTCCCTTTTCAGCAGGATAGCTAAGAGAATACGCCATCCCCTTTTCCTTATGAATCAGGGTGAAGTCTCTCTCAGGGAGGAGTGATAGGGAATGGCAAGGGACACACTGACAAAGGAGATTAATCAGAACTGGCTTTGACAAGCACTGTGGCAAATGGACGATTAAAACAGACATGGGGGGGAAAGAAGAACAAACTGGGGAGGAGGGTGGAGAAAACAGTGCAACAATGAATGAATGAATGAATGAATGAATGAATGAATACCCAAAATCTCTGTAAATGTTCATTAAAACTTATTTAAAAAAAGAAGAAAAAGGAAATAAAAAGATTTGGTGTGAAAAACAATGTATATGAACTTTGTAAATAATAACAATTTTATGTAAATAAAAATAAGATTGCTAATAAATTTCAAATCATAACAATGCTATTCTTTTTAATTTAGTGTGGACCATTTCATATCTAAGGAGGGAATCTTTGTTATATTCTGAGATCAAGATCTGCACCATCCATATGCAAATTAATAACATAGAAACTAAGAAAATATAAGTAAGAAAGCAATGAGACATGAGTTGGTTGACACTGGGTGATTTGTTGATGAGAGAAGAGTTTCTGGTTCCTGACCCTAAACTAGTTGAAACTTTTACAAGAGAAATGTTTGAGTTTAAAACAAATGAAAACTGGTTGATTTCAACTCATAAGAACCCTAGAGGGCAGAGTAGAACTGCTCAATAGAGTTTCCAAGGCTGTAATCTTTAAAGGAACAAATCTCAAGGACTTTTCTCCTCTGAATAAGCTGCTGAGTTTGAATTGCCTACATGGATCATAACAAATGATGACTATCATTGAGAAGAATGGGAATCCCAGAACACTTTATTGTGCTCATGTGAAACCTATACCTAGAACATAAGGTTGTGCAAACAGAGCAAGGGAATACTACGTGGTTTAAAATTAAGAAAGGCTTGCACCAGGATTGTATGTATCCTCGCTCCATACTTATTCAATCTGTATATTTGTTATATGCTGTAGAGTTGACTAGGGCTCGCAGTGACCCTGTGTAGACCAGCTCTGAACCCTGTTCTAACCTAAGCCAATCTCACAGTCTCTGATATAACTGCCCTAATTACTCTAAATACTGTGTCAATCCATCTCATCCAATCTTCCTCTCCTTCACTGTTCCTCGACCCTTCCAAGCATGATAACTTTCTCCAAAGACTGGTCATTCCTCAGAACATGCCCAAAGTATGTGAGACAGAGCTTGAAAATCCTTGCCTCCAAAGAGTAATGTGTTTTCAGTTTCTCCAAGACAGACCTGTTAGTTCTCTTGGCAGTCCGTGGTGTATATTCAGCAATCTTCTCTAGCACCACAACTCAAAGGCATCAATTCTTCTACCATCTT